GTGGCCAGGACCTGGGCAGTGTGAGTGCCACTGAAAATCAGCTCGCGTGCCGCCTTCAGCACGTGTGCCATAGGTTGCCTACCCCTGCCTTATATATATCAGTAATGTCTAACTTGCTTTTTGACTGCTATGCATATGATTTGAAACTTACCGCAGTCTGTGCTGAAGAAGTATGACATGTAGATGGAATTCTATTGAGTGGTGAGGAGGAACCCACAGGCGTGCTGCATTTTAGTACTACTGATAACAGGTAGGTGTTGGAGAGAGGTCTTGGAAGCTAGCCTTAGATTACTAGGCTAAAGATTTAGTTTCTGTAGAAGTTTTCTCTGAAAAACACCAACGAGCCAGAGATGGCTTTATGATCTTAATGTCAAGTATCGAAGGGGTAGCCGTGTTAGTCTGGATCTGTAAAAGCAGCAAAGAGTCCTGTGGCACCTTATAGACTAACAGACGTATTGGAGCATGAGCTTTCTTTGCTGCTGATCTTAATGTGTGGATGAGTTTCATGAATTGCCAGTAATGAACAGGAAACAACGAACATTGCAGTTCAGGTATAAAATTATAAACCAAAAAAAGAGTATGCTAACGTTTTTTAAATTTGGGGGGATTTGCAAATATTTTCGCATATAAATTGTCATGTCAAATGTCAAAATGTTCTTGAACAACAAAGCATATGGTAATAATAATAGAAATGGAGTCAGCTCTCCATGATTATCCCAGAAAGCATTCATTAATTTGAATGGTTTTAGTTATTCCCTTCTTTAGCGTGAATTGCTAGGTCAGATCATGGATAAAGCTCATCATATGTAAAACCGTATGTGTTCCCATTAATTTAAAATTCCACTTTTTGCTTTGTTCTTATTTTTCTCCCAGGTATGTTCAGGATTTTCAGTGGCTTTGGTTTTTCATGATAGTTCTCCTCTACAAATGTTGCTAGCTCTGATTTGTCTTCTACTAGTGTTGTAATTCATTTGGTCTAGTGCCATTGAACAAATTCTAACTGTATGCAGTATGAGCAGAACTCCAGCTGTCTCTCCTCCAGAACTTCCCATTCGGTCATTATAGAAATCTGTCAAACCTTCCCCCAAAGTGAGGAGTACTGGATTCCAACTGTTTGCAAAATAGGAAGACCAGCCAGAAATTCTCTCCCACTCTCCGCAACCAGTAGATCCTGAAATAGTGGATGGTGTGCGATTTTATTGCTGGCACTGAGCAGCTCCTGCCATTATCCTTAATGTATTATCAGTCAGAGGTCTAAACTTCTGCAGAGGTCTTACCTTCTTGGTCTGTTTGCTCAAATATCTAATTGCTTTTGTCATTGTATGAGCTAGTCTTTGTTCAATAACCATCACTTAATAAACCAGAAACAATAGGCTTTTTTTTCCCATTTATTTAAAAATGCAATTCTGCTTTAAAACATGCTACAGAAGGGATTAAGTCAAGTGTGGTTTCATGTAATATTGTAATTGACCTGGAACGGATTCAAAATCAGGACTCCTTTCCCAACACTTTACTTAGAGATTGGGCGACAAATTAAGATCTCATTTACAATTATCTAAAGCCAGAGTAAATCCATAGGGCTAAATGGGGTCTCATCAGTGTAATTGAGAGCTGAATTTGATCCTTTGACTCTACACTTGTACAAATCCAAATAGAATTTGGCCCAGAGAATTCTTATCTAACCATGCTGCCAAGCAATTTGACTGCACACACCAGATAATAGTCACACTGGTTCGGGTTTTGAATAGTTGGTAAAATAAATTCAAATATAAATAATACAAACTTGAATAAGGAGAATATTTAAATTGTGGGCAGCTGTTGATGTTTCATGCCTTTGTAACACAGATAAACACAGTCCCTGGGAACTGACCATTGGTTCTTCAGAAAGCATTGTCAAAAAACGGTGCCAGGTGCAGATGGCCTTTTAAATTCTGTAGCGTACCTAGTGTCACGCACATCGCATCTCTTACACCTTTCTCTAGAGACATAGAGTGGCATCCAGCTCATTGGTGGCTGAGGAGTTGTCAACAAACCTTTCAGTTGCTAGTGTGTACTGCAATTAGCTGTAAACAGGCGTTTAAATAAAATTGAGGGATATCAAAGTGAGCCCAAGAGGATGTTTACAATATGAATTGTAGTCATTTCCTTCTTAAGTATCAGTAGTCAGTTCCTACCACGGGACATTACAATAGGTCACCAGAGATGAAGGCTTCGGGATGCCAGGTGGGTTCTAGCTTGGGATCAGGCCCCAAAGGATGCTCGGGTTTTCTAATTGCTTTCAAGCTAAGGTCAATAAAGTGCTAGTAGGTCACTAGAGAATGCTAGGATCTTGGGGGAACTCTGATGCTAGGGAGGACACTGAGGTCATTTGAAGACCCTGCTGAGGTTGTTTGGGAGAGGAGTTTCATTCTTAGGCCCCTGAATGGGCTCTTCTATGCCTGCCCCAACTTGGCTCTGCATAGGTTTGCAGAAATTCTGGGACTTGAAAAATCTTCCTTCTGATTTATATTGAATCAGGGCCCAATTCAAAAAGCACCCAATGTTTATTTCTGTGAAGATACAGGAAGAGAATATGCATGCTGGTCACTTCTGCTGATCAGGTGTTTTTCTGTATATATAGAGAGCAGGTGAGCTGGACTGTCAACAGGACTTTAAATAATTAGTGTCTGTAGTTTATTTTTGCCATCAAGTCAAGATTTAAAAGGTATGGGTAACCAGACTTAGCCATGGGTCCAGACTTAGCCATGAGTTCAGTGTCCTGTCCAATCGTTTGGGCATTTCCATGAGTGTCTTGCTCAGTGGTGGGCAACCTGCATCCCATGGGCCACCGCTTCCCACAGTTCTCATTGGCTGGGAACGGCGAACCACAGCCACTGGGAGCTGCGGGCATCTGTGCCTGCAGTCGGTCAGTGTAAACAAACTGTCTCGCGGCCCGCCAGCGGATTACCCTGACGGGCCGCAGGTTGCCCACCACTTGTCTTGCTCCTCTACATATCCAAGATCATGGCCTTTAGGATGGTGCATTGCCATTTGAAAATGTATAATGACAGAACAGAAACCCATATAAACAAGGTTAAGCCTCTAGGGAGAAAAGTACTGATTCTACAATTAATAATATCCATTACTTTTGCCTGGAGCTTCAAGGGGCTAATAGAAAAGTGAAATTTGTGATAATATACTATTCCTGCAGCTATGTAGTGAGTTGATCGCCCCATATGTCAGATATGCAGCAGTAAGAAACTATGATGGTTTTCTGTGGATAGTTGCACTTTCAGGATTAAGATCTACCCTTTATTTGGGACTTATTTTCTCAATCAAGATTTTTTTTTTAAAGGAACAACCATGATATATTTAATCTCTCTAGAAGATAAAAAGCTGATGGTACTGATTAGCTAATTATTAATATTTTCTGAAGCTTATCAGCTGCATTGAGTGACTGGTGTAAGCTTTGCAAAATACTGGAGATGTGTCTTTTTCTCTTTCAATTCGTTACCAAAATTTATTAAAATCAGAAAAAAAGAAACAATCAAAATCCTTTTCTGCCCAATAGAAATATATTAATTTCTTTCTTCTGAAATTTACAGTCAAAATTCATTTCTCTAGTACTGAGGTTAAAACATACACTTGATATGGAACAGTACAATGAGGCTGCAGCTAACCTAGCTGTTTTGTCTTTATTATAGACTGTTCCATAAGCCAACTCAACTTTATTTGTCCCTGTGGCTATTTCACCTTTTTCCTTGTTCCTATTTGGAAAACATTATTTTTATTTTGTCCTGGTCTCTCTTCTAGCTTCTATCCTTTACTGCCCTTTTTGCAACAACAGGAGCAAGTGGAGAGCAGTGATTGCTTATTTGATTGCCACACTGCAGCACTTCTGCTGAGCAGGGGACCACATGTGTGAAAATTACGATTGCAGTGCTAGTATTGTACCCTCAGTAGGCATGCTTATGGCCCACAAATAGCCACAATTTGAACTACACGGGACATGAAAATAAATATGTTGATGGTCTCTACGTGTCTGCAGTTATGCTTCATTTAAGGCATGGACTACTTTGTAGTGTACAAATACTGTAGAAAGAAAAACAATGCCTATAAATAGGGCAGTTTTCTTGGGATGAAATTCACCCCAAGCAGATGGCCTACAGAAGATCTATGCAACACTTAAGTCACATTTAAGTCCTCCAAATAGGGTATAAGTGGAACTTAACTGAGGCATAGGTCTTGTGCTGGTCAACTGCACAGGGTGAATTTCATCCCCTGGCCAATTCCTGGACCCACTGAAGTTAATGCAAAACTCCCATTGGCTTCACAGGGCCCAAAGATTGCCCCTATGTTACATGTAATGATCTTCCGTTTTTAGCAGAGTTTGATGTTTGAGCTTTATCTTTCGATTTAAAAAAAACAGTTTTTATTTGTGCTTAAAATGTAGAAACAACAAATTCTTGACACTTCTGTGGAGCACAGTCTTGTTAATGTTCTTTGAAATGTGACATATGTCATTGCAGTCAAACTGGAATGGTTCCATTTCTTCTGAAATGAAGAAAACATGTCATTGTTGGATCCAAGTAATACAAAAGAAGAGTCATATTTTAGATAGCAGCTCCACAACTGCCAAAGATGAAAGCGAAATTTTATTACTTTTGGAAATTTTATAATTACAGTTAATGATAATTTAATGAAATGACATTCTCTTCACTGCTATCACTAATGAAATGTTTGAGTAATAAAACAGATCTTGTTAAATAGAGCGAGCATCTTGAGTGGAACAACACTTGTGACAGCAGCCTTCATGCACGAGGTTAGGCTTGGAATTCAGAATTTTGTTACAGAAGTAAGAAAGATAAAATTAATGTATGGTGAATAATTCGCACGTGAAGTAGTTTTAAGGGCCTTCGATTAAGCAACCAATACTGAACTTTTGAATAAAGGGCTTGATTTTTGAGCATTGCTCATTATAAATACTAACCCTTATTTGTCATGCCTGTTTTTCTTTGCAGGCAAACCAGGGAACAGGAAACCCCGCCTGACTTCTTTTATTTCTCAGACTATGAAAGGCATAATGCTGAAATAGCAGCATTTCATTTGGACAGGTAAGTAAAACGAAATAATATTTAAAAGAAAAAATAAATGTGATGTGCATTTTATTCCAAACCCTCCTGCCTGGCAAAAATTTAGTTACTTTAAAAATAGAAAATAACATAAAAAGGGTGAGCAATCGACATGAAGAAATGAATGGAACAGAATGAAACTGGGGAATAATAATTAGAAACAAAGGTTTACTTTGGGAGGAAGATACCTGAAAAAAGTAATGGTCAAAATGAATTAGAGGCGATATTAAAGAGAAGCTTCTAATGCTACACATGACAATGTGATCTTGAGTTGCATATGGAGAGGGTCTCATGTCATGGGTGATACATGGCATTGGTATGACTGAACCTCTCCTACTTCAATTAGTTCTAGGCACATGAATATGAGATAGATATTGATAAACAGGAGAGCACTCAGAGAAGAGTAAAATAAATGATGAACAGAGAGGGGAGAAGAGATGGTGGTTTTATAGGGTTGGGGTTGGGACCGGCTGCTGAAGGCCATTGTGCACAAAGTTCAGAATTAGGGTCATAACGAGGCGCACAGTTACAATGAGGAATGGGGCCCATTGGTTGGTCTAGGACAGGATTAGGGCTGGACCCTGATGGAGCCATCTGTGTGTCCAGGATAGCCTTTGGAATGGAGCTCATTTAGCCTCCAGAGCAGAGATTATGGGTGGGGCTTACTGGTAATCTAGGATTACAGTTAGAGACCATGGAATTTTCTGGATTAGGATTAGGGTTGCAGTTTCTTACACATCCTGGGTTAGGGGCAGAGTTGGTGGCCATAAAATGTTCTTGCCTAGGGGGTAGGGTGAAAGTCTCTTGGACAATGCATAGTAGAGTTAGGGTAGTGACCTGTAGGGAATCCTGGGAAAGGGTTTCAGTTGGATCCCATGAGACACACCAGGCTAGAGTTAAAGTTCAGATATGAGTGACAATCGGAGCTAGGATGATGGTTTGAGACCATTTGGATACCATAGTTTACACTAGGATTGAGACCGGGGGACTGTTCTGGGCTAGAGTTGGGGTTGGAGCCCATCGGACATCTCAGATTAGGGTAATGATTGGAGCCAGTTGGGCTTCCAGATCAAGGTTTGGGGTTGGAACCTCTTGGACTTCCAGGCCTCAGATAATGGTTGGGGCCCATAAAATTTCCACATACAGGGTTGGGTTTGTGCCAATAGGGATTCTAGAGTTATGGCTAGAGTTAGGAGCCATAGGACTGCCCACCCTAGGGTCAGGGTCAGGGCCTGTAGGGCTTCCTGGCCTGGGGTTTGAGTCAGGGCTGGTAGAGTGTTGGGTTTGGGGCTGGTAGAGCTATCCATCCTAGGGTTAGGATTGCAATATATAGGGCTTCCTGGGCTAAGATTATGGTAGTGGCTGGTAGGGATTAGGGACAGGTTGAGGGCCATAAGGCTTCCAGGCATAAGGTTAGGGTTGGGGGCAGTAAAGCTTCTCCAACTAGGTACAGGATTGGGACTCATAGGGCTCCCAGACCTTGGATCTGGTGGGCTACCCAGCCTAGGGTAGGATTGGGGCTGATACAGCTCCCTGACCTAGTGTAAGGGTTGAGTCTCATTTCACTTCTCAATCTAGGGTTTGCATTGGGTCCCCAGGGCTTCCCAGTCTAGAATTATGGTTGGGGTCCCTAGAACTCCCTGCCCTAAGGATAGGGTTGAGATCCATAGGGCACCCTAGTCTAAGGTTAGGTTTGGGGCCCCGAGGCATATGTCTACACTGCATCTGGAAGCAAGCCTCCTAGCCCAGTAGACAAATTTGCATTAGTGGTGTTCACACTAACAAACTAAAAGTAGCAGTGAGGATGTTGCATCCCAGTGGAGGCTTGAGCTGGCCACCCAAGCTCAAGCCCATCCTACACCCTGGATCTGAGCTTGGGTGGCTAGCCTGAGCCTCCACCAGTGTCGCAATGTCCCTGTAACTATTTTTAATGCACTAGCAAGAGCCCTGCTAGCACAGGTCTGTCCACCAGGTCAGGAAGCTTGCGCCAAGCTGCAATGTAGACATACCGTAGGACTAGTTAACCTAGGGTTAGGGTTGGTGCCCATAGGACTCTTCTTTTAGGGATCCCCAGCCTAGTGTAAAACATGGGGTCTGTAGAGCTCCCCAGTTTAGAGTTAGGGCCTGTAGGGCTTTCCAGGTTAGGGTTGAGGCCCACCATGCTTTCCTTTCTTGGGTTAGGATTGATGCCCCTGGGACTCTCTACTTAGGATTAGATTTGGGGCCCTTAGGAATACCGGCCTGCTGTAAGAGTTGGAGCCTGTGTAGCGTTAGGGCTGGGGCCTATAGGCCTCCTTGGCTTAGGGTTAGGTTTGGGGCCCTTAGGGCTACCCAGACAAGGGTTAGGGTTGGGGCCTTTTGGGCCTCTCTGGATATCCTGGAATGAGGGTAATAGGTTACCAATGGAAGACATTGGAACCCCATGTCTTGAGTCACTCAAAACAGGAGTGAAAAAGCAATGGATAACGTTCTTTAGGGAACAATCCTGCATTGGTGAGCAGTTGGACTGGACTGGCAAACCGGTCTCTTGTATCTTAGGCCTGGTCTACACTAGGCTTTTATGTCGACTTTAGCGCCGTTATATCGAATTAACCCTGCACCCGTCCACACCAGGAAGCCATTTAGTTCGACATAAAGCTCTCTTTAAATCGATTTCTGTAATCCTCCCCAACGAGAGGATTAGCGCTAAATTCGACATGGCCATATCGAATTAGGCTAGGTGTGGATGGAAATCGACGGTAATAGCTCCGGGAGCTATCCCACAGTGCACCACTCTGTTGACGCTCTGGACTGCAGTCAGAGCTCGGATGCTCTGACCAGCCACACCCCCGGGAAAATTTGAATTCATTTTCATTTTCCTGTCTGGGCAGTTTGAATCTCAGTTCCTCTTTGGACATCGAGGGGAGCTCAGCAGCAGTGGCAACTATGCAGAGCTCTCCAGCAGAGATGGCCGTGCAATCTAATAGAAAGAGGGCCCCAGCATGGACTGATCGGGAAGTCTTGGATCTCATCGCAGTGTGGGGCGATGAGTCCGTGCTTTCAGAGCTGCGCTCCAAAAGAAGGAATGCTAAGATCTACGAGAAGATCTCCAAAGCCATGGCAGAGAGAGGCTACAGCCGGGATGCAACGCAGTGCCGCGTGAAAATCAAGGAGCTGAGACAAGGCTACCAAAAAACCAAAGAGGCTAACGGACGCTCCGGATCCCAGCCCCACACATCCCGTTTCTACGAGGCACTGCATTCCATCCTGGGAGCGGCCGCCACCACTACCCCACCCCTGACCGTGGACTCCGAGGATGGGATCATGTCCGCGGCCGGTTCCTCGTCGGACATGACAGCGGACGGGGAAGATGAAGAAGGAGATGAGGAGGACGAGGCAGTCGACAGCGCTGGCACCGCTGATTTCCCCGACAGCCAGGAGCTCTTCATCACCCTTACCGAGATCCCGTACCAACCGTCCCCATCCCTTACCCCGGACACAGAATCAGGGGAAGGATCAAGCAGTAAGTGCTGTAAACATGTAAACATTTATTTAAAACAGAACGGTAATATTTATACTATTAACAATGTACATTTATAAAAGTTCTGTAAACTAGTAAAAAAATAATCAGGTACAAAACAGGAATATTTATAAAGGTAACAAATGGGTTTTCATGATTTCTCTGTCTTAGGCTCTTCTCAATTTAGTCCCAAGTGTTTTAAAAAATTTTCACAATGTCCGTTACTCCATGATTCCCAGGCCCAAGACGCTCCACTCCATAGTCCCAGTGCACCTACGCGAAAATCCGGTCAATGTGGCCGGGGATCGACGAGAAATCCTCGTAGGAGAACTCCTCGTAGGTCTCGTGGAGGTAGAGCTCAAGCCTGTTGATCAGGTTCCGGGGTAGGGCGATCTTAGTGGGCCCTCCGTGGTAGCAGACATGCCCCCTCCACGCCACAATCAAGTACTCCGGGATCATGGCCCGACATAGCATGGCGGCATACGGCCCCGGTTTCTGCATGCTTTCCCGCAGCATGCGTTCTCTCTGGGTGTCCGGGATCCTCAGAAGGGTGATGTCGCTCATGACGCCCTGCTTTGAATTAGGGAGGGGAATGTTAGTATTGGGACTGCTTTACAGCCACGCGGTGGAGGGAGAGGGGCAGCATACAGGGATCTTTCCCTGGGACAGCCGCGAGGGGGTGGGACAGGGGCAGAGTTGATGCTGTCCTGATTGCTGGCAGCAGAGACTGGCATTGCTTTCAATGTGAAAGGAGGCCAGTGCTACTGCTGGAGTTTTAAGCAGCCACAAGTCTGCGGCTTACCATTATTGCCCGCTCCAGAAGTTCAGGTCTCCAGCCACGCTTCTCAGATCACTCCAAGACCTCCGCAAGTCCACAGGCACTGAAGGCGACGGCCGAAAATTCGACCTTGTCCTGAGTGCGCATGTGAGAGGTGCAGTGCATGGTCTTGTTCACAGAGAAAGACTAGGTTCTTTGTATACAATTTCATTTATCTGTCTCAGGAATTCACTCCCTTTTCACAATTCACACAGACACATCTGCGACTGTCTCCCAACCCAGCCTGTCAGCACACTCCCAGAGGCTAGCGCAGATTAGGCGGAGGAAGAAGAAGACGCGTGAAGACATGTTCTCAGAACTAATGGGATGCTCCCGAGCCCAGGCAGCCCAGCAGACACAGTGGAGGGAGAACTTGTCACAAATGCACCGAGCAGTCATGGAACGGGAGGAGAGGTGGCGTCAGGAGGACCAACAGGCTACTGAAAAGCTGCTTGGACTAATGAGGGAGCAAACGGACACGCTCCGGCGCCTTGTGGATGTTCTGCAAGACCGGAGGCAGGAGGACAGAGCCCCGCTGCAGTCTATCTGTAACCGCCCTCACCCGCCACCAAGTCCCACACCACCCTCACCCAAACTCCAAAGAAGGAGGGGCGGCAAGGGCCGTTAAAACTTTCAGTCAACCCCTGCAGACTGCTCTAGCACTAGAAGGCTGACATTCCCCAAAATTTCATAAGTCCTTTCCTACCCACCTCACACAAGCCCCCGTCCAAGTTTCACCCCCCACGTTTCATGTCTGGTTCGCAATAAAATGTTTGTTTCTCTCCATTACTGTTTCAGTCAGGTTCTTTTGAGGGAGAGTCTGTCTGGAGGGGGGGAAGGGGCTTGGTAATTGGGCAGGACAGTGACCTTTAGCAGGGTACAGAGGCGGTGTCAGGTCCAGCATCAGGACACATACACAGTGCAGTCACTGGTTACCCTGGTCAGTCTGGGAGGTGTTTTTCATGTTCTCCATTGAAATAACCAGTCCACCAGTGCGGAGCCTGGCATTCCGGGAGTTTAGAAGCATCATTTGCATCAGAACACTGAACCCGCCCCCCGCCACAGTCTGCGTCCCCGGTTTAAAATATTCCCGCGAAAACAGCAACACAGACAACGGTGTTCATTAACAAAATCGAAATGATTTTATTTTTTGGGAAGGGGAAGGGGGTGAAGGGGGTATGTAACTGGAGAGGATAGTCAAAATGAACTGGGTAAAGAAACGGGGGCAGGTTCAGCTTTTCTGTCCACAAACTGAAAAGTCACTGGTTGCCCTGCTCACTCAGGAACCTAGCTTTCAAAGCCTCCCGGATGCACAGGGCGTGCCGCTGGGATCTTCTAATGGCCCGGCTGTCTGGCTGGACGTAATCAGCAGCCAGGCTATTTGCCTCAACCTCCCACCCCGCCATAAAGGTCTCCCCCTTGCTCTCACACAGATTGTGGAGCACACAGCAAGCTGCAATAACGATGGGGATATTGGTTTCACTGAGATCACAGCGAGTCAGTAAGCTTCTCCATCTCCCTTTGAGACGGCCAAAAGCACACTCCACTACCATTCTGCACTTGCTCAGCCGGTAGTTGAACAGTTCTTTTTCTGTGTCCAGGGCGCCAGTATAGGGCTTCATGAGCCAGGGCATTAGCGGGTAGGCTGGGTCCCCGAGGATGACTGTAGGCATCTCCACATCCCCAAGAGTTATTTTGTGGTCTGGGAAGTAAATACCTTCCTGCAGCCGTCTAAACAGACCAGAGTTCCTGAACACGCGAGCGTCATGAACCTTGCCCGGCCATCCGACGTAGATGTTTGTAAACCGTCCCCGATGGTCCACCAGTGCTTGCAGCACCATTGAAAAGTAGCCCTTTCTATTGATGTACTGGCTGGCCTGGTGGTCCGGTCCCAGGATAGGGATGTGAGTCCCATCGATAGCCCCACCGCAGTTTGGGAATCCCATCGCGGCAAAGCCATCTATGATGACCTGCGCGTTTCCCAGGGTCACTACCTTTGGGAGCAGTACCTTCACGATTGCCTTGGCTACTTGCATGACAACAACCCCCACGGTAGATTTGCCCACACCAAAGTGGTTCGCGACTGACCGGTAGCTGTCCGGCGTTGCAAGCTTCCAGAGGGCTATGGCCACTCGCTTCTGGACAGTGAGGGCTGCTCGCATGCGGGTGTCCTTGCGCTTCAGGGCAGGGGACAGCAACTCACAAAGTTCGAGGAAAGTCCCCTTCCGCATGCGAAAGTTTCGCAGCCACTGGGATTCATCCCAGACCTGAAGCACTATACGGTCCCACCAGTCCGTGCTTGTTTCCCGGGCCCAGAATCGCCGTTCAACAAAATCCACATGCCCCATTGCCACCGTGATGTCCTGGGCGCTGGGGCTCGTGGTTTCTGACAGCTCTGTGCCACTCTCCGACTTCAGGCTCTCACGGCGGTGCCGTAGCCTCCTCGCCCGATTTCTCTGCATCTGCCTCAGGGAAAGGTGTATGATAAGCTGCGAGGTGTTGAGAACGGCCACAAGTGCAGCGATGGTCGCAGCGTGATCCATGATCGCAGTGCTGTGGCGTCCGCGCTGTCACTGACCAGAAAAGTGCGCGAACTGATTTCCCGCCGGCGCTTTCATGGAGGGAGGGAGGGCGTTAGTGACAGACGGATGACGACAAATTTTTTTTACCCAGAAGGCATTGGCGGCTCGACCCAGAATTCCGATGGGCAGCGGGGACTGCGGGAACTGTGGGATAGCTGCCCACAGTGCACCGCTTCCAATATCGACGCTCGCCCCGTTAGTGTGGACTCACAAAGTCGAATTACTGTCCTTAGTGTGTCCTTAGTGTGGACACACACGTTCGACTTTGCAATATCGATTCCACATATTCGATTTAAGTAAAATCGAATTACCCTCGTAGTGTAGACATACCCTTAGATTTCTAGGATTTTACATTGCTTAATTTTTTCATGAAACATTGTATGCCCATACTTTTAATCGTATAGCACCTGGCATTGGCCACTGTCAGAAAACAGAATACTGGGCTAGATGGACCTTTGGTCTGACCCAGTATGGCCGTTCTTATGCTTTATACAATAAGGCTAAATTGGGACTCGTAACAAAGTACGTTTAACATTACATCTTGAGCATGTATACTATGCACCATGGATGATCTGATTTAAACTTGATGGGGCTCTTTGAAATATGAAGGCCACAGAAAAATGTAGGTGGTGCCTTCTGGGTATAATGTACCTCTTTAGTTTGCATCACAATTATGTTTTTAGATGCAGGAATTATCAGAGGTTTTGTTGTTGTTGTTGCTGTTGTTTAAAGAATCTTAAAAGTAAACTGCCCCTTTTATTTCACTTCCAGGATCCTAGATTTTCGTCGTGTTCCACCTGTTGCAGGTAGATTGGTTAATATGACCAGAGAAATTAGGGATGTTACTCGTGACAAGAAACTGTGGAGGACATTTTTCATTTCACCAGGTAGTTTTATGCATTACATTGCCCTCTTCCTATGTCACAAGGGAGACACCTATTGTTTAATTGTAATATGAGGTCTCTTTTTATATACCTTTAAATAAAAACAAATATGGTTTGTCGGGGAGCTGTTGGATCAGGTCAAGCTCTATTGACAGCAAACAATTTATTGTATTGAACTGAGTCCCTTTTTTCAGTGTTGTTGTAGCCGAGCTGATCCCAGGATATGAAAGACACAAGGTGGGTGAGGTAATATCTGTTATAGGACCAACTTCTGTTGGTGGAAGGTACAACCTTGCAAGCTATACAGAGCTCTTCTTCAGGTCTCTGCTTCCTTCCCCAGAAAGCTTGTACCTTCCGCCAAGAGAAGCTGGTCCAGTAAAGGACATGACCTCACCCGCATTGTCCCTTTTGCCATTCACAAATAATCAAATGAGTTTTATTTGTGTGTATTTGTTTGTTAATGCAAATTATTCAACAAGTGTTTTATGTAAAGCATTTTCATCAGATACTTGCAGTTTATTCAAAACAACTATCACTTAGCACATTTATTATTTATGCTTGGCTATTGCTTGCTATGTGGTTGATCACCACTATAGGTTACTTGCTATTGTTTCTGCTCCCTGATTGGATGGCTGAAACTTTTATATATGGGAAGGGAACTGAATATATCATCTCGGTCCCAAACATTCTCATGGACACATGCTTACATTGGTATCAATAACAAGGCAGTGTGACACTTGACCAAATATGTACAAAGGACACACCTTCCAGGTGAAATTCAGCTATGTTCCAAAGGCAACCACAGGGCCTATGTAGCATGTAAGTCCCATTTATATCCTCAGAATAGGGTTTAATTGTGACCTAACTGGTGCATAGCCCTTGTTCTGGCCGTCTGAACTAGGGAGAGTATTAACCTCCATAAACATTCTTGTAAATAATAAAATTGCACATTGAGGATAGCCAATAAAAGGGGTTGTGAATATCATTTCTGTGAACCTGTGCAGGGGCAGCTCCAGGCACCAGCGCAGCAAGCACGTGCCTGGGGCGGCAAGCCGCGGGGGGGTGGCGTGCCTGTCATCGTGAGGGCGGCAGTGAGGCAGCCTACAGCGGCATGCCTGCGGGAGGTCCACCGGTCCCGCGGCTTCGGCGGCAATTTGGCGGCAGGTACGGCGAAGGCGCGGGACCGGCAGATCACCCGCAGAAATGCGGCCGAGTCCGTGTGAGCAGCGTGACTGCCGTGCTTGGGGTGGCAAAAAACATAGAGCTGCCCCTGAACCGGTGGGTGTTATTCACAGTATGATCCTGAATGCTTTCTTCGGTATTTGCCCAGCTCTAGTAGCCTCATAAAATGCAACATTTGAATTTTCAAAGGCTCATTCTTAAGAGTTTAATACTCCACACACCCCATAGGGCTACTCTCTATGCAAACACAGAGTAAAAACCATGTGCTTAATTCCCATTGACTTTACTATTAAGTGATGTTACAAGATGTGCCGTGTGCTTAAGTGTTTTCCTGAAGTGGGTCTATGTGACTTGCCTAAGGTCATTCAGGAAATCTCTGACAGTCCTGAGAATTGACCCCAGGTTTCTTGAGTCCCAGTCCCAAGTCTTAATCACAAGAGAATCCTTCCTCTCAATTTCTATGAACATCATTGTTTTCATCTGATGCAGACATGTAACCATAACCCTCCATTTTGGGTTTTCATTACAAAAATAGCTATTTATTGTGTGTCACACTTCTGCACATAAAATCACCTATAGAGTCATCTGTGATGTTTACATTTTGAGATCATGATATATTTTCAGCATTGTTGTATGCACATTTTTAACATGCTGTTATTTATAGCAGTACCTTCACTTGGCAAATTGTATAACTGCAAAAAGTTAAATCTGCCCTCACGTTTTGAGTGTCCATTTTTACATATACAACTAATTGACCATGCTCACAAACCAAGGTATGCAGCCAATTTGAGTACACACATAGGAATGCAGGTACTCCAGTCAAGCCCTTGAGGGAGTAATGTGAAGTTTCATGCACAAAATAAGTGCACAATCACTGCAATCAATTATGGATGCTAATACTGTGGGCAAAATTAAGAGATAAGACTTAGGCTGAAAATCTGGTGGATAATGTTAAGTTAATGTAGTTTGTTTTGCTCACTTGAAATGTTAACCACTGTATTCCCGTGCTTGTCAGCAAGATTTGAAAGTGTATGGTCCTTTGTTTTTTGGATTTTCCAATTTAGATTTCAAGGTTTTAAGGGAACCTACCTTGTGTGATTTCTGAAAGTAGAATCATAAAACAATGCTAAAATATCTGAGCAGTTTAAAGCAACTGAAGCAACAAAATTCAGAGATAAGACTGCGAGTTAAGATAAAGTTCTTTATCTCATCATGATACAATTTTAGACATTCAAAGGAAGGTCCAAGCATAATCCTTTATCCACCTCTATTTATGTGATTCAGATACATCCAATTAAAATATTTGATTAACTGTGACTCAGGCTTTGCTGGAGAATAAAATGCTTAACCTGTGTGTTTTTGCATTATAGATTTTCTAAATCAATATACCTTCCTTATAGCATGTTAGTGAATTGCAAAGCCATTCTCTGCAAATCCGTAGTTTAATTAGCCAGACTCACATTAGTGTAAGAACAGCCTGCATCTTGTATCTCATACTTGTCCTTAAAAGGCATTAATTAATTAATGTGGGGTCCAGAAGTAATAAAGGTCCTAAATTAAGCACTGTTAGACAAATCCAGGGACTTAACACCCAGCCCAAATAGCCCATTTGAAAGGCTCCCACTGATTTCAGTGCTAGCTTCACAAATGGGAATCCTCAGATATCAACCGGGGCTACCTCAGCCCAGTAGCTGAAGGAGTCTCGATAGCTCTGATAGACCCCTGCTGCAGGATTCATGATGTGGTGAAACATCTGACCATATCAAAGCCAGCCCTCAGCTTCCCCAATTAGAAATTCCCCTATTCTCAGGGGGTACCTCTACAGAAGCGTAGGTGGGGGCTTGATTTGCCTCTAGAAGATTCTCCTCTGCCGTATTTTGTGCTAAACTGGCTAGATTCAGTACATACAATATGAACATAATAAGAAACCACAGAATACTTTACATCTCTGTGTCACTGTGATCTCTCAAGATCTCCATGGGATTCCCCCCGTAGCTGAATGTTAGAGAGAGTATGTTGTCTCTGCAGCTCTATCCCAGGGCATGGGGAGAGGTAAGGGCTGTGGAGAGATATAATTGTCTCCTCCATAAACATAACTCCCCACACGCACCCCTTAAAGTCACTGCAGCAGTAAGTGGCATTAATTTTGCACAGAGCCCCCACGAGACTAGGAAACTACCCCTTACTGGGGAATCCCTGGCTGCATGGATCCAATGGACCCACACTTCCAGCATGCTGTAGGGGTGTGGAGAGAGCCACATGAAGAGGCACAGACTCTCAAATGGCCTTGTGCATCTAATGATCACTCCAGGAGGTGTTAGGGCCAAATCCTCAGTTTGTTCTATGATGTGTGGAGTGTGCAAACCTCATCCCGGCAATGGAACAATTTGGGGAAAGACCCTCACAGAGTTTCCATGCCCGAGGCCACCTCCTACTGTTGTCCCTTGGGACAGAGCTATCTGTCATAGGAGGCTATGCCAATAACTGGCAGGCAGCTCTTGTTTGGAACTACACATCAGGGAAGCATTCATTCTTACGCTGAGAAATGTAAAACCCTGAAATCAGACAATAGGGTCAGTCAATACGTTATACTGCTTTCCAGGAGAAAGCACACTGCCGAAAAAGTGCACTTGCAGGCGGTTTGGACTAAACATGAGACATGGAAATAGACGAGTAATCATTTAAATTAATTTTACATCCTTTGCAGCAGGGGAGGCTATGGAAACTCTAGTACTCTTACAAATAAATAGTAACTTACTAGGAAAAAGAAAGAAGGTGGGTGAGGTAATATCTTTGATTGGACCCGCTTCTGTTGGTGAGAGAGACAAGCTTTCGAGCTTATGCACAGGTCTTCTTAAGGTAGCAAAAAGAGACATATTAATGTCAGCCATCGTTTTAGGAATAATTGAGGCAGCAGTTTAAAGAAATCCATGTTACACAGCTGGTAAGCACTAGCGCTTTCATTCAGAGTAACCAATTCCAGGGGATTGTGGATGGGGTTTTTTCCCCCCAGCAAACAATAGCAAATTTGGATCTGTTATTATTCTGAACAGGTAGATTAAAGATCTTTTCATGTGCTGCTGTAGTAAGCATTCAGGATTATATCCTCTTTCTAGACTTGTGATTGCAAAGAGATTGCTAAATGCACAGTATTAAAAGTAACACTGCTTTCAGTGAAATAAAGGTACTGCCAAGTCATTTGATTGTAAAGCATCTTGAAATGTTTCTTTTCTACCTGAGCAGAATTATTGTTCCGGTAACGTTATGAAAGCCACAAGACGGATGGATAGATGCACAGACACATTTTGAATTTTAATTGTAATAATCAGGCTGAGCCTTAATACGCCTATTTTTCGATCACTTGATTATGATTACAAGGCAGTTTGTCAAAACCCACAAATCTTGTCAATTCATATTCAAATGCCTTAAGTATAGCACAAATGTACTGCAGTATCGCTTTGGGCCCCTCAAAAAGTTGCTGCTCATGTTCTTTATTTAATGAAATGGAAGTTTACACATTGATACATGACACAGCAGAAATGTTTCACTGCATCCACCCATCTGAAGCATCCCTTCCCTTTCCGGGGTGCCAATGCTGATGCACCCCACCACCCTTTGCACTAGAAGAGTGCAAGCAGCTTGCACCAGAGTTGCATCCTTTGCAGATGTATTGTGCTCCCCCTGTGGCTGCATCCCCACACAATATATTAAAAAAAACAATACTGCCCTGGGTCCTCACAGGGGGCTCCTGTTAATGTCCTATATAGGTCTGTCGCATCTTATGCGCATTTAACATGCGCGATTTCAGCTTTACGCGGTTG